CATATTTCCAGTGATTGACATTCAAACTATGTAAAGAGCACAAACATCCCAAAAATAAATAATTTAATTTAAATGGGCAAAAATGTAAATGGACATTTCCTAAAAGAAATGTAGATAAAATCATAATTTGGAAGACTGAGGCAGTAAGTTTTCTGTGAGTTAGGGACCAACCTGGGTTATATAACATTGATAGGATCACATTGATTTCTCTGCAGAAAGAGAACTAGCTGGGCCAGGCATTTGTGGCTCAGGTCTTGATTTCCTTAAGATGTCTTTCACTTGAGCAATGCTGTCTTTTCCATTAGTAAATTAAGACCCTTAACAATACCTGTCTATCCTTTTCTGAGTATCTTAAGGATGGATGTTCATAAGATGTTGCCTAATATGGCATGGGGCACTTTGTCTACTTCTTGAATTGTGAATGGTTTACTTTTTAAAAACTTACATACAATGTATTTTAATGGTATTCTTTCCCCTCCTCCAACTCCTCCCATACTCCTACCTCCACACTCACCCAATCTCTCTCTCTCTCTCTCTCTCTCTCTCTCTCTCTCTCTCCATCTTTCTGTCTTAACCTTATATGAGTTCTGGAGAACTTCTCTGAGTAACATGGTAAGACTTGCAAACCAGCTTCTTACATTGTGAATTCTTTAAGCTATAGAGAAAACAAAAGCAAAAGCCTCTAAAGATAATCAGACACACAATCAGAATTTCTCACAAGTTAGATAAGAAGAAAATGTCTAAAGAACAGGAATTCAGTGTTCACAATGGTTCAGGTCTGAATGTCTTAACGAAAGCCTTGCTTCAGGGAAGGACCCAGACCATTTTGAGAAGTTTTTATCTTTTAAACAAGGTTCATTTCCTAAGTCATCCAAGAGGCCTGCAGAACCATGAAATGATCTTGGCAATGGAGATTAGGGCAGGCCTTTAAGAACAAACAGCAAGACTGTTAAACCGAATGACTGCTCTTTGAGAAGTGGAGGGAAGTATTTCAGAAGTCAGAGTGATCTCACAGGCATGACCAACAACCTGGTCTTGCAGCATTGGCTGCATCTGGAGGTCAAATGCACCATGAAATGGAAGGTTGCTGAAAGGGCTATACAACCACACAACCAAAGTGCTTTTCATCCTAGTATCTGTCTATCAGCCTTTTACTCCATGAGAAAGACCATCTCGGTGCCAATTCCGTTTCAATATTCGGATTTTTTTTTGGAGATTGCAGAGTCAACTCATGAAAAGAAACCAGAAGCCCTGTCTTATACATTGTAACAATGGTGGATACCCATCCTGTTTGAAATTCTGTTATGGATAAGTAACATATGTAAAGGTTTTAAGATGGCACTGTATCAAACGCTGGACACACACAGAATCTAAGACAAAACTTCAAATAATGTGTGTGTGTGTGTGTGTGTGTGTGTGTGTGTGTGTGTGTGTGATTCCTGTTTTAGAAGATTGCATATGAAATATCATGACCCATCACTTTCCAGAATTCCAAAAGTGTTGTGGATATGCCAAGTTTGTAGACCAAAGAAAAGTACATTATGAGAAAGATGCACAACTTAAAAATATACAAAACCCATTGGTGTTGTGGAATAGAATATTTGTTTTACTATGCAAAGATGTGTTGCATTTGTTTGTGTTACAGAATAATTGTTTAACTATGTAAAGATACGTTACTGTTTCACTTTGTCTGCCTAAGGCAACAGATTGGTCTAATAAAAAGCTGATCAGTTAATAGCTATGCAGAGGAGGGATAAGTGGGGTGGGTGGGCAGGGAGAGAAAAGTGGAGCCAGTCAGCCAGCCAGGGGCCAGCTAGCCAGCAGGGAACCAGAGAGCCAGATGTGGAGGAAGCAGAAAATCAGGATGGACAGTACGGATTTGGGGTGAATGAGCCTCAGTGCAGCACACAGAAATTAACAGAAATGGGTTAAGTTTTTAAAAAAAGCTAGCTAAAAACAAGCATAAGCTAATGTGGAACAGTCACAATTAATAATTAAATCTCCATGTCCTTCTTTGGGAGCTGTTTGATGGCCCAAAGTGAAAGCCTGCTATACATTGGACAATTGAAAAATAATTAAACAATGATGACAGTTTGTAACCAGTGAGGAAGGATGCAAAAATGCATTCACAGGAAGGGTGTCATCTGACACTAAAATTACAATAAGCATCAAACAGGAAAGTAGGGCCTAAATGTTATTGGAAACAAGGATATTGTTTCAGAAGAGAACGTGGATATTTATAAGCAGGCCCATGAATTGTCCTGGAGAATATAACATAAAAGTCAAGCGGACAACTGTAACACTTTTCTAAAATATAATTTATGAGATAATGAAATGCAAGCCTGCTATTCCTTACCTTTCCCAGATGCAAGACTGCCAAAGCTTTATCTGTATGAATTCTGTCAAATATATAGAAAATTAAGAAGTGTGGATGGTTTCATTCTCTAGCAAGTGAAATTTACCAAAGGAAAGAACTTTCAGGATTTGATGTTGATACAAAATTTATTATCAAAATGATGCTTGTAAGCCAAGAACTTCCTGGACAACCAAACATTGTAGTATGATATTAAGATATATCTTTTCCATGACCTTACAAAAATGATGAGAAAGGCTGTCCTTTAATTGGATATGACAAAGCTTTTCCTTAGAGAAGTACAAGGTCTGCTGTATAATGATCATGCTTCCACTCGAAAGAGTCAGATTTGGATGGGTTTTCATTAATTTCAACTGTTTGCATCCTAGAGAAAATCAAGCAGGGACTTCTGAAAAGCCACTCAATGATCTGGACTATCTCTATTACCTAGTCTATTGGCCCAGCATCATCACAGAATATCTCAGTCTTCAACCACAGTAGACACATCAACATCAAGGCCATTAGGAAAGCCACGGGTAACCTCTTGCAGCACCTCCATATTACTGACAAGATATGTCTGTCATAATTAGAAAGTAAGATTGATAATGAGCCACATGAAAATGCTGAAAACCTGTTCCTGAGTAATAAACATTATACAGAGAGTCTGAAGTTTTTAAAGAAGAGTGAGAAGCTGAAAAAGATGCCAAGAAGATAATAAAGCAAGCTAGCTACTGGAAAAGGAGGGATCAAGAAATGTTGTCACCTAGAGCTAACAGAAGACACTCATCTGTAAAAATACAATGGAAAAATATGTATTTGTATTACCCAACGAACTGGCCAATGGCAGAGTGGTGTCACTGAGTGGGATGACTCCATGCCCCAAGGTTCCCAGAGAAAGAGGTAAACCTGCCGCCACAGCCTGCCCTGTTGGGCCGCTGAGCGGCATGGGAGCAGCTTCCATATGCTTGCGCCGTCCCGGAGCTTGCTTTTGAGGTTTAGACTCGGCACTTCTGAGATGATAAAGACAGATCCAGATAAAGAAAAACCTCTAAAGGTTTACACTACATTTAAAATTATATGTGGGCTTGTGAGAGAAAAAGTAACAGGAGGAAATAGAATAGCCGGTTATGGTGGCCAATGCCGGTAGGATTTGCTAAAGGAAGCAGAGGCAGGCGGATTTCCACAGAAAAACCGTCTCAGAAAAAAAAAAAAAAGAAACAAAAGGAGAATAGTAAAAAAGCCACCTAGAGATGAAAAATACACAGAGAATCTGGATACTAAATGCCATACTGCTGTCTTTAGATTGTTTGATTGCCGAGGAAAGAATTACTACTGCTAAAATACATCCGATTATAAATGCTGCTAAATTGATCCAACTTATACATTTTAAAAATGCTTTGACTTCAAAATTTAAGTCTAAGGACAGGCTACTTAGAAATAAAGGTTTTGCTTGTATTTCCACAGAAAATGAAAAGCTGTGGATTCCTTCCAGACTAATATGGTTTGATAAAACAAGACCCCCTGAAGCTGAAATGATACAGACTACAAAAACAAGGACTTCGTCAGGTTTTTATGTTTTATCATGATCCCTATGGTAAATGAACATCGTCCCCAATCAGCAGGAAGCAGTTTAGAAAGAATGACGCCCATATTCCTAAATATTGTTTATAAATATTTGTTTTCATTTAAATGGGGTTAGTTATAAATGATAATGAGCATAGTCAATCTCTTTTTAAAGAAAAAAAGAGGAATAGGATATAGGTATCAATACTTTATTGATACAACTTTAAGGTCAATTATGTGATATGTATATGTCTACTCTTGTTTAGGTATTGTGTTTATACAGATCTTTTACCTATAATAGTCAGAACTTATAATTAGGTTAGTTAGGTTTTCTAGATATAGAGAAGTATTTGAAATGATTAGGTATTCTTCAAACCTTTCAAAGACTTACAGAAATATGGCATTTAAATGGTTTA